AAGTATTTTTGATATTGAATAATTTGTAAAATGTAGTATTACCTTAGTGACCTATTATTCTATTTCAAAGTTAGTGCAGTGACCTATTCTTCGACTGCTAAATGAAATATAACAAAATTCTTTAAAACACTTCCAGTGTACTCTTACAACTGTCCGAGGGGTCTCCATTGCACTTAGAAAGGAGGTGCTGCTACAGTAACAGTTTTGTTTAGGAGCAGTTACTTGGGTTCTGATATCTGTGTGTGTTTATACTGATGAAAAGACACCCAGAAGATTCTTAGCACAAGCACGATACAAAAACAGACTATGGAAACTATTGCTTCAGAAAAAATAGTAGAGTTAATTCATATTTAGAAAAAAGACTTAATTATTTTTCAATATACTATTCTATTGAATTTACCAAGGTTTCTTAGAAACTATTCTTGAATATCAAAGGGTTAAGCGTTAAAACCCTTGGTAAATCAGCTCTTTCGTGTTAGTACAGATGGTGCCTGGGTAATCTCCCAGTGAGCAGATTGCTAGAGAAATCCTTTAATTAGCAAGAGAGGCACACATTAACCTTTGCAACAGTTTAGAAAGACAGAGTCTGCTATGGAAGAGACATGGCTCTCCATACTCCCCTGCCATGCAATATTCGACACAGCCTTGCCAGCATTAGTGGATCTCTGTTCACCCAAAACAAAACCAGAGACTGTGGTGGTGACAGACAGTCGTATCATACAGGTATGATATCTATTCAGGGTATAGTAGGAAAAAGAGCTAGACTTGTTCCCTTTTAAAATATCTGGTTGTGCAATTAATGGCATAATATAGAGGTAGTACAGGTAGTGGAGGCAGAATCTTCTCAAAGCAGCCTTCTGACATAAAAATGATCACTAGTATAGTGCTCTGCAGGCTACTAAGAGGGAGGGGTTGATGTCTATCAGGACAGGTGCTGGGAAACAGAACTTTGCTGCTCTCTTATATAGTTAGGTAGCATGGCGCAAGCACACTGAATACCTGGTTGTGCAGATCGTGCTTGTTTCTGGTTGTGCTATCATTGAGATCCCAAAGACTATTCACAGCACACTGTTCATTGGTAGAGAAAAGGAGACATAACATAGAATATACAAGTGATACTCGAAAAATTTGAATATCACGCAAAAAGTTCATTTATTTCAGTAATGCAACGTAAAAGGGGAAACTAATATATGAGATAGACGCATTACATGCAAAGCAAGATAGTTTAAGCCGTGATTTGTCATAAGTGCGATGATTATGGTTTACAGCTCATGAAAAACCCAAATCCACAATCTCAGTAAATTAGAATATTGTGAAAAGGTACAATATTCTAGGCTCACAGTGTCCCACTCTAATCAGCTAAGTAAGCCATAACACCTGCAAATGGTTTCTGAGCCTTTAAATGGTCTCTCAGTCTGGTTAAGTAGGAATCACAATCATGGAGAAGACTGCTGACCTGACAGTTGTGCAGAAATCCATCATTGACACTCTCCATAAGGAGGGAAAGCCTCAAAAGGTAATTGCGAAGGAAGTTGGATGTTCCCAAAGTGCTGTATCAAAGCACATTAATATAAAGTTATGTGGAAGGGAAAAGTGTGGAAGAAAAAGGTGCACAATCAGCAGGGATGACCGCAGCCTGGAGAGGATTGTCAGGAAAAGGCCATTCAAAAGTGTTGGGGACTTTCACAAGGAGTGGACTGAGGCTGGAGTCAGTGCATCAAGAGCCACCGCACACAGACGGATCCTGGACACGGGCTTGAGATGTCGTATTCTTCTTGTCAAGCCGCTCCTGAACAACAAACAACGTCAGAAGCGTCTTACCTGGGCTAAAGAAAAACAGACCTGTTCTGTTGCTCAGTGGTCCAAAGTCCTCTTTTCTGATGAGAGCAACTTTTGCATCTCATTTGGAAACCAAGGACCCAGAGTCTGGAGGAAGAATGGAGAGGCACACACTGCAAGATGCTTGAAGTCCAGTGTGAAGTTTCCATATGTGTTGATGTGGGGAGCTATGTCATCCGCTGGTGTTGGTCCACTGTGCTTCATTAAGTCCAGGGTCAATGCAGCCGTCTACCAGGAGATTTTGGAGACCTTCATGCTTCCTTCCACAGACAAGCTTTATGGGGATGCTGACTTTATTTTCCAGCAGGACGTGGCACCTGCCCACACTGCCAAAAGCATCAAAGCCTGGTTCAATGACCGTGGGATTACTGTGCTTGATTGGCCAGCAAACTCACCTGTCCTGAGCCCCATAGAGAATCTATGGGGCATTGCCAAGAGAAAGATGAAAGACATGAGACCGAACAATGCAGAAGAGCTGAAGGCCGCTATTGAAGCATCTTGGTCTTTCATAACACCTCAGCAGTGTCACAAGCTGATAGCTTCCATGCCACAACGCATTGAGGCGGTAATTGCTGCAAAAGAGGCCCAAACCAAGTACTGAATCCATATGCATGCTTATACTTTCCAGAGGTCCGACATTGTTCTATGTACACTCCTTGTTTTATTGATTGCATGTTATATTCTAATTTACTGAGATTGTGGATTTGGGGTTTTCACGAGCTGTAAGCCATAATCATCACACTTATGGCTTGAACTATTTTGCTTTGAATGTAATGCGTCTATCTCATATATTAGTTTCCCCTATTACGTTGCATTACTGAAATAAATGAACGTTTGCACAATATTCTAATTTTTCGAGTATCACCTGTATATCAAAACATATTCCCACCTCTCTGTTAGTGTAGCGGTCACTGAAGCTCCAGGTGTTTCTAGAAGCTAACTAAACCCCTGTTACTAGGGCTGCCAAGTAATTATTTGATTTTGAGACTCTTATGAAAGATGTTCGTTTTGGGATTATACTGGCTGAAATAGGGATTTATACACATTTATACTGGAATCCCTTAAATCAGCTTCTGATCTGGCAATCCTACAACTGTAATTTACAAAAATACTCTCCCTTGGCTACCATTTCAATTATTGATTCACATACCTAATGGTAGCATCTAGTAAGGAAAAAACTGAGAAATAAAGCTGGCACTAGATCAGGAAGAATTAAACTCTGATATAAGTGGGAAAACACCGCCCTTGGACCTGGAAGCAGAATGTGCAACCATCTGACCCAGGCAAACTGTGGCAGATCTAACCTAAAACATGGAAATACAGAACACAAGTGGAGCAGAACCAGACCCAACCTGAGACAGGTAGGCTGTAAACTGACAAAATCAAAATAGGCTGGGGACAGTAACGCACTACACGCCTGTGGGCATGGACCTGGACATTACAAAACACGCAAGGAACCCTGCTCAAAAAAAAGGAGCATATATTTCCACACATACATCCAACACAGGATCACAAATTGTGTCTACCATGACCATTGATACAAACTGCAATATAGCAGTGTACCATGTGTATATACAAATACACACCTAAGCATGCACAAAGGATGCTTGCCACTCAAACTGTCCACCTGAGAGAAGACCATGATGCATCATTCCATGAAGAGGGAACTAAAAATGGAGCTTCAGTGGAAACTTACCTATGACTCAATTTAACAGTAAGTAGGTTTATAACATCCACTTATTTCTAATGGTTTCTATTGTGTTGTCACATGTGTGATGGCCATTATTCTCTTTATTATTATTAATTTTTTTATTGGAATTATTTCATCCTACAGAGACTTCCCTCAACATTAACAACGCCTGGATGTTGGGCAGAAGTAACATCCCCAGGATGTACTTGGAAACCAGAGCAATCTGAATGTACCTTTCCTTGTTAAATACTTTGTTAGTATTATTATCGCCCCATTGTGTACATTGATGAGAGGGTGTCAATTAGCAGGAAACAACACATGTACCTCATACACTCAGTATTTTATTAACTCCTTTTAGGGCATAACGTGGGAGCAAACCTTCCCCTCCAGATGCTTCTATATTTTAATTCATTGTTCTTTCCATTCTGGTTTATGTCTGAGATTCTCATTTTGGAACTTAAGGTGAGGAATTAACTGAGTAGCACTTAATAAACTTCAGATGGTATAACTGAGATATGTTACATGCAGTGTGCTGTAAATGCTGTAAATTCAGTGTATATATAAGAAAAAAAAACTCACGATTTTATGGTTTAGTATGTATGTTTATATCACCACTGTATTGTATCATATTGCTGTACAACTGTAGAATGCATATCATTTATAGTTGGAAAATATTTCCAATTCTCATTTTAGTAACATACTTCATAACTATATAATCCATATAAACTTTAGTAGTATAAAAATGCAATATAAGGTGCTACTCCAATCACCTTGACCAATTCACTGATTTGAAGTGGTCATGGTAGCAGGATATGGTAGCAGGAATATGTATGTGCAGCGTTTCTGCTTGAAATGCTGCATTTACAGAGAAATCTGGCACACGTGTCAATTCTGTGCATAAAATACATCCATCATCAGCGAGCATTGCATGCTGGCAAACGGATGTTTTGAGCTTCTCCCTCGTGGCTTCCTTACCAGCTCAATAATGCTCTTTTTTTTTTTTTTTTAAAGAAACATTTTTCCCACTCGCCCTCCCCTTGCCTTCCCAGATTGTGTGCATGCACTCTGAGCCAGCAAAAATGTCCAGTCACAGGCTTCTCTATGAGAGTCTGTAATTGGTTAGCTACAGAAAGTCTGGGCGGGGTTAGAAGGGTAGGGCTTGCAAACACTGCAGACAAGAGAACTGCAGCTTTTGCAAGCTGTTTTTAGATATTACTCAAATGGAAAAATGCTAAATTAAATGCATGCATGTTTTCTTTGTGGTATATTTACTAAACAGTCCTTTGTATTTCATATTTGGGCAGTGTAGTGCTTCTTTACAAGATGCAGAGGGATAAAATGGGTGTTTGGCAGAGAAATAAAAAACACTACTGCAGCAAAGTGGAATGTAATTGTGTCTTCGTGGGGTAAAATTAATTTTGCCTTGAAATTCAAATGGAATCCTATACACATTTTACAAAGTCAAAAAATTTTCATTAAGTGGTTACTCTAACCAATAAAACCCAGTGTTTTAATAAAACTCTGTTTTTGGTTTAGAGTACCAAATTTGACCCCAAAATGCTAAACCTACAGATTCCAGGCACCATGACCATTTCAAAGTGGAAGTAGTCATGGTGATTGGAGTAACCCTTTAAATTCCTATTCTTAGATTTTATCAATTGATTTTTTTTCAGTATCATCTGCTCATAAGTTAACAATTTAAATTAAAGATTAGTTTTATATATACATTACATTTCTCTTGTTAATTTGTTTGATCATTTTTTTCCCCCTTTTTTTCAGTATCATCTACTCACATGTTATTATCAAATTCTGCAGATAATTGGGTTATCCATTCTTACGCTAGTTGAATGTTTAAGATTATACCTTGGATACATTGGAAATTTATATGAAAAGGTAAGACCGCTTGACACTTGTAAATATGTTAGTGTTATAGTAATGGTTAAGTCTTATGTGACATAAAAAAATGTGTTCTTATTTAAACTGCAGGCATAAGGTGGAAATAATTCTATATAGATAACTGTGATGAGCAAATTGTCAGCTCCATTCAAGGATTACAACTGAGATGATTGTTCTTCATGATGAGTGCAGTCATCAGCACGTATATTATTGAATGTGATTGAATCTTGGTGTGGTGTCCATAAAAGAAGTCATTATCTGAAATGCATATCACATTTTTAAACCCCCCTGCGATTAAAATGTCCCTTTACCAATAGATCTGTGAATTCTGAGACTGTGTACCATGACACTAAAAAGCAGTTGAAAGAGCTATAATGTTGATAGATAAGGGGTGCCGTCTATTAATCCATGTGGCTATTACAGAAGGCAAGATTCCCACAAGACTTTGGTTTGCACAATCTATTGCTCTTTGACTGCTAAAGATGGGAGGAGGGAGGCAAAATTGCTATAACAGAAAAAACAGAGCAGCTGAAGGAGGATATTAAACACAGAAAATAAAAATATATTTCTTCATAATGTAGTTCAGTCCTTGAAACAAATAGTAAGAAATGTATACTTAAAGGAACCCTATAGTGTCAGGAATACAAATGTGTATTCCTGGTGTTATAGCTATAAAAAACATAGTTGAGGGCACCTGACCCCCCGTTTGAAAAGTAAAAGGTATTTTTACTCACCTTTATTCCAGCGCTGCGTTGGGTCTCTGCCCTGTCCCACCTCCTTGGCTGGGATGATCAAAATTGATGATCTCAGCCAATCTGTCTTTCCTATATGAAAACATTCGATGAATTTCCAATTTAAGGTAAAAATAGCTGATCTGGAAAAAATCTCAGTCAGGGATGCATTTAGTTCAACTACTCTGGCCTTAAATATGAAGTTCACCATGAGTTCACTTTGAATACTCACTTTGCGAATAACCCTGTATGTCTTCTGAATCCTGATCTATTCTCTAGGTAATTTCTAAACACCTGCTTTGACTGACTGTCTCTGGTACATGCACATAGTATTACAATTCTGTGATATCAGCTGACATTCTCTGGGTGTAATTAGTAACTGCCATTACTCCCACAGTACATGATGGTACTCCAGGCAGGAATATACTTGTGACTCATAGTAGGTGCCATCTTCACCTCAATTGTTTCCCACACATTGTTTGCCATGTGTTTACTTTTTTACAACTTGCACACTAGACACACTAGTGAAAGTTACTTTAAAGGAACACTATAGGGTCAGGAACACAAACATGTGTTCCTGACCCTATAGTGTTTAACCCCCCATTTAGGTGGCTTGCCCCCCCTTAGCCTCCCCTATAAAAGTTTAAAACCAACCTTTTTCCAGCGCTGCACAAATCTACTGGCGCTGGATCCGCCCCCTTTGTGACATCATCAAAATGGCAGAATTGTAGGTGTAGGAAAGCATTGGATTGGCTAAAATCGGCATGGGGCGGGTTCAAATGCCGTTTTGGCCAATCAGGACCTCCTCATAGAGATGCATTGAATCAATGCATCTCTATAAGGAAAATTCAGCGTCTCCATGCCGAGCGTGGGGACACTGAACGTCAGTGCTGCTTTTTCGGGCAGCACTGACCCAGGAAGCACCTCTAATGGCCATCTAAGGAGTAGCCACTTGGAGGTGTCCCTAGAGGCAATGTAAACACTCTGAAAAGGCAGTGTTTACATAAAAAAAGCCTCAATGAACTATTATACTCACCAGAACAACTACATTAAGCTGTAGTTGTCCTGGTGACTATAGTGTCCCTTTAATACAAATGAACCTGCCCAGGGCACAGCAAAACCCATGGCTGTACCCAGGGCCGCCATCAGGGGGTGACAACCATGACGGTTGTCACGGGCCCGGCGGTCCTGGGGGGCCCAGACTGCTTTGGCAGTCCTGGGCCCCACATTCCCTCTATGCACATATATATATAGCGATGATCGCTATATATATGTGCAGTGCAGGTGCAGCCGCGGGCCCCCGGCTCCCTGTATTTGCAGAGGGGGCCCAGCAGTCTGTAGCTGTACATTACAGCTCTTCCCTCTCTCTAACTCCCTCTCTCTAACCATGGCAACGCTCTGCGTGGCACGCACATCACGCTCGCGGGAGTTAGAGAGAGGGAAGAGCTGTAATGTACAGCTGCAGACTGCTGGGCCCCCTCTGCAAATACAGAGAGCTGGGGGGCCCCACCATGCCACCGGACCACCAGGCATGGAATCTCCCCCCTCCCTGGACCAGATAAGAAGCAGGGAGGGGGGAATAACAGATTTTACATTTACATTATTACATTACATGCATACACTAGTAAACACACACACTCTGCATTCACTACACTGACACACACTCTGCATGCACTACACTGACACACACTCTGCATGCACTACACTAAAACACACTCTGCATTCATTACACTAACACACACTCTGCATTCACTACAATGACACACACTCTGCATTCACTACACTAGCACACACTCTGCATTCACTACACTAGCACACACTCTGCATTCATTACACTGACACACACACTGCATTCACTACACTAACACACACACTCTGCATTCATTACACTAACACATACTCTGTATTCATTACACTGACACACACTCTGCATTCACTGCACTAACACACACTCTGCATTAACTGCACAAACAGTATCTAATACACCCAAACACTACATCCATTACTCACATTCTAATTCACTTCCACTATACACACCACATTCAGTCCTGCATCATTGTCAGTGGACTAGGTAGGAGTGGGGCGGACTGGGTGGGGGCACAGACATTGTGCTTTGTCAGGGGCCCCAACATTTCTGGTGGCGGCCCTGGCTGTACCTCTAGTCTACAGATAGACACTCTGCATTCACTTTCACTACACTAACACACACTCTGCATTCACTACACTGACACACATTCTGCATTCACTACACTGACACACACTCTGCATTCACTACATTGACACACACTCTGCATTCATTACACTAACACCCACTCTGCATTCACTACACTAACACACTCTCTGCATTAACTATACACACAGCATCCACTACACAAACATCCTGTATTCACAATACACACACTACATCCACCACACATTCAAACACTCTGCATTCACTATACAGAGACACTGCGTCTAATACACACATTACATCCACTACAGACACTGCATCCACTAAACACATTGCATCTAGTACACAGAAACTCTACATCCACTACACAAATACACACTACATCCACTACTCAAACACACTCTGCGTTCACTATACACACTGCATCTGCTACACAAATACACACTCTGCATTCACTGCACAAACAGTATCTAATACACCCAAACACTACATCCATTACACACATTCTAATTCACTTCCACTATACACACCACATTCAGTCCTGCATCATTGTCAGCGGACTAGGTAGGAGTGGGGCGGACCGGGTGGGGGCCCAGACCGTGTGCTTTGTTAGGGTGGCGGCCCTGGCTGTACCTCTAGTCTACAGATAGACCCTGCCATTAAATGAGAAATAATTATGCCCCAAGGCAAATTCAAGTAATGAGACAACAAAGCCACAGGGTTTGAGTGAATACAGATTAGACTGTTGTAGTCCTAGTTATGCAAATCTCATCTTTTTATAGAATGTGTAAGGACTGAGGCGGCGAGGTATGGATGTGGAAAATTGATGACGTGTATTAGGTCCATCTATTCTACTCTGGCACGGGTCTTTTGATTTATCAGATGTGGCAAGTTGTTTCATATAGATTCACTGATCAGCTTTCTGAGCGGCGCCTATATTTACATTTTGTTTAGTTGATCATGCTGCAGGCACCAATCAGGAAGTGAGGCAGGCTATATAAAGTCCATCCAGAGAAACAATCTTTGGCACTCCTGATGATCCTGGTGTAGTGGGTGAAACATGTGTTGATTGCATGTACCTCACTTTTTTCTCCTTTATGTGCCCTTTCTTTTTATGCTCAGGTCGTCTGGCAAATAAATAGCAATATATTTACTATGAAGCCTTTTTGGCCAGGGCGATGATAGGGAACAGCCGTCCCTGGACAAATCTTTCTATTTTCTATCTTTCTATACTTTGCAATCTTGTATCCATTTGATACTTTGGCATTAAGCCATCCACTGTTATTAATTTTTTGGTACAATATTCTTTGCACTTTATTTGGATACTTTTACAAGTCAGGCAGATTTTTATACCATTATTTTGGGGTATTACAGATAGGAGGAGTTTAATTTATACATATTCTTATCAGTTTACTTAGTATATTTCCTTGATACTTTCATTGCATTCTTACTAATAATTATTCCTTGTGGAGTTTTTTTTAGATAACTTTCGAATTATGCTTGGTACCATTTAGGATACTGTGAAAGGTTTATAGAACATTTTTATTTCAATCATTCAAACTTTGTATGTGGCAAGTCTTGCCTTTTAAAGTATTCTAAACAAAGTAGCATTTTAACATAATTTATACGTTTATGTTAACTTTTACACATTTATCATGATTAAATATTTCATAGATGTTTATATAGCTGTAAAGTTTTTCTTTCTATAGGTGATGAAAAAAAACAGTACTCACCTTTACACTTTCCCTAAAAGTGGTGTTTAGTGGGTATGACTGCAAGTATAGCCAGACCTGCTCCCCCCAGACAGGAACAGACTTTTATCCCATAAATCCTTGTCCAGCAGTTAGTTTATCTGATTAGCAATTTATCCCCCAAAAACCATGACCTTGTCATTTAGAATGAGTGAAACTGCGCCGTAAATGGATATCAATCATAACACAGCTATAACAATTTGCACATTGCACAATTCTCTATTTAGTGTGTGGTATGCTGTAAAAATGTGTCAGAGGGGCAAGTCATACTTTCCAAAGAGTTGTTTTCACACACACAGTGTATATAATGACACTTATATACAGTAAACCTTTGCTAGGCTGGGTATGTTAATAGAGTCACAAGCAGGGCTAAGGTTATTTATCATATAAATCGAGGACTCATAGATCCCTTGGGACTGATTGTATATCCCACGTTCTGCAATTTCGGTTTTGTATTTTATTCTGGACTTTTCAACTATGGACATTTTATCAATAGCAACATACATATTATTCTGAATATTATTCTCATTTACTTATTTATTGTCCACTATCTGAATTTCATTCAACATCAATTTTCATTATCTGTATCTCATTTCACATCCAATTTATAGCTCCTGGATACCCACACTATATTTTATGGTGTACTATTCTTATTTTTATAGGATTTGGTGAATTTCCTCTTTTTCCAGTTTTAGAGCTAATTTATTCATTGATTGTATCTATTCTGTCTTATTCCCTCTTATCTTTCTGTAATATTCATTCTGTGAATATCAGAATTGTGTACCTTATATGTTAATAGAGTCAGTTTATTAATCAAGTTAGACAAGGTGGATTCATAAATAAATCAAAGCTAACAAACATACTATAACAAACAGTAATATCTTTTTTTGTTTCAGGTACCAGAGCTGGCAGCATTTCTACTTTTGACCTTCATGATACAGATACCTCTTATTCTCTTCCTTTTAACAGATGAAGAAGTCTTAATTCTACCGCTGGAGTATGCTGTTCATGCAATTTACACTGTTTTCCTCTCTATGGAGCTACTGGTTTCATTCTTTGTGTTAAAAGTCATGACACGAACGCTTGCCACAGAGTTTTTCTTACATCATTCAGATGACACCGAAAAAGACTTGCCAGGCAGGAACTTGTGCCAAGGGATGTAGTAAAATACACACAAATAATAGAAAAAGGGAATGATCCTTTAATATATTAAGCTATGCTGTATTGTATTGTTATCTTCTTGGCATGTGTGTGTGTTTATTTAGAGCTACATTGGTCAGTAGTGCAAGCACATACAATACACAATACTGTATACTAAATCTTTTTAGATTT